TTCTTGCTGAAATAGGAAGCAGGGTCAGCCTCTGACAGAGAGGATGAAAGAGGAGGTATGGAGGTTAGGAAAGAGGGTAGGAAATAGTTGTGTAGGACAGTGAATGGACAAGAGAAAATAGAGTATGATTGGCCAGCAGCATTAAGGACCCACTTGAGGGTGGATACTTGAAATCAGCATATTGGAGGGGTTGTAGCTATTGGTAATTTTAAAGTTTAGGATATGGAGCTAATGGCTGAAATAGTGTAGAGGAGAAGGTCTTTGGAAGAGAGGAATTCAAGGAACTGAGAAGGCAGCTTGATGGAAGGATCACTTACATATATATGAAAATCTCCAAAAATTAAGAAAGGAATAGAGTTAAGAGAGTGACAGTGAATCAGAAGTGAAGGCCATTGCTAAATGAAGGATAGTGCCCAGGGGTCCACAGATAGCAGCAATAGGACATCACTGAAAATGGCAGAGTAGGGAGGTCTAGAGCTCTGTCCCTCCATAAAAGCAACCAGTGAATTGGCAAAAACTCTCAGTCAACTTTTACAAAACTCTGGAATTTAGCAAAAAACTTGAAGCGACCAAGAAAAGGCTTGGTGAAGAAAGAAGATGGTGGTCTGGGGTAAGAGAGCACTGTGGTGTCTTAAACTGCTTGCCTACTATCGCTCACACCCAGATTGGTGGTGTCTGTGAAGAAAATAGAAGCCCACATTCCTAGTGCAGATTGCTAGTGCCAGAGGATACAAATAATCGTTCTCAAAGAGCTGTGGGTTGTGACCTGTCTGGCTGCTTCCTGAAGGACTGGTGCAAGGGCCTGTCTTTGTTTTACCAGACTGGCACTATCCCCAGGGCTGGGGTAGTTTTGGCAAAAGCATTTAAAAGCACAACTATTGGCTTTAGCAGCCTGGAGTAAGAGACAACAATCAAATAAGCAATAGAGAGACATGAAAGCCTAGAAAGGAAGGATTGGATAAGGAGATATGTGGGAGAATAAGGATTTTTAAAAAGCTCCTGCATATACCAGGGAATTGTAGAAAAAAAGGCCACATACATGCTCAGAACTGAATGCGGGCTCAGAAAAGAGCTGAGAAGACCCCTACGCCTTTTCCTCTGGCTGACCTTCAGGTTCTGCACAAGCGGGAAGTGAAAACTAAGGCAGAGTTGCAAATGACCTGGCCGAGTGTTGAGGAGGCCCTAACAATACAGCCAGTGTGTGAAGACCAGAGGAGTATTTTTTTTTCACTTTTTTCTTTCTTTTTGTTTTGGCTTCAGGCCTTTAAGAAAACTCAAAGCTAGCAATACAGATTTAAGTAGTCACACAAGACAATAATACAGACTTTACAAAGTGAGTTTAGAAAAGTCACTAAAAAAGCAAGCAACAATAACCCATAATAAGCATCAGCAAACCCCTCAATGAGGGGGCAGGATCTGATTTTAAGAGTTGTCACATGATCCTCAAAATGTCTGGTTTTCAGGAAGAAATGAGGTATGCAAAAACAAAGATTGGCTCGTTCACAAGAAAAAAGAAATTAGTAGAAACTGTCCCTGAGGAAGCCCAGGTGATGGACTTACTAGATCAGTTAAACTAACATTTCTAAATACCCTTATGATCTATAGGAAACCATGGGCAAGGGACTAAAGCAAACCAGGAAAGCACTGTCTCACCAGGTAGAGAATATTAATAAAGAAATAGAAATCATAAAAAAAGAACCATATAAATTCTGCAGTCAAAAAGTATAACTAAAGTGAAAAATTAACTAGAGGGGCACAAGAGCAGAGTGGAGGAGGCTGAGGAAACAATCAGCTAACTTGATAAGTCAATTGAAGTAAATCAGGCTGAGGAGTTGAAATAGAAAAGAATGAAGGAAAATGATAGAGCCTGAGAGACCTATAGGACACCATCAACTGTACCAATATGTGCATTACCGAGTCCCAAAAGCTGAGGACAGAGAAAGGGACAGAAAAAATGATGGTTGAAAACTTCCCAAATTTGAAGAAAGAGATGAATCTGCACATCTAAGACTTTCCATTAATACCAAGCAGGATAAACTCAAAGGATATCTGCACTGAGACCCATTTTAGTTAAATCATCAAAAGACAGAGAATCTGGAAAGCAGCAAAACAGAGGTGACCCATTGCATACGAGAGACTGTCAGTAAGATGAACAGCTGATTTCTCTTCAGAAGGCAGTGGGATGGCGTATATAAAATGCTAAAATAAAACTGACAACCAGGAATTCTATACCAAACAAGATTGCCCTTCAAAAATGAGTGATTATGAGCTGGACTAGTAGACCTGCCCTACAAGAATGCTAAAGGGAGTCCTTCAGACTGAAATGAAAGGACACTAGATAGTAACTTGAAGCCACATAAAGAAAGAAAGAACACTGGTAAAGGTAACTACATAGGTAAATATAAAACCAATATTACTGTATCTTTTAGTTGTAGGCCTTCCTTTTTTCCTATATGATTTAAAAGACAAAGGAATAAAACAGTAATTATAAATGTAATTGGCATACATCGTGTAACACTGGAGGGATAGAGATATGTATGTGCTTTCTATATACTATTACATAGAGTTTTTATATAGTATTAAAACTAAGTTGGTATTAATTCAAACTATGTTATTATAAGTTTAAAATGTTAATTGTAATATCCCAGGTAACCACTAAGAAAATGACTAAAAAACACACAGAAAAGGAAAGGAGAAGGGAACTAAATGGTACATTCTAAAGAAACAAGCACAAAAGAAAGCAATACTAGAGGAAATAAGGGACAAAAAATAATGTAAGACATGGAAAACAAATAGCAAAATGGCAGAAAGCCTTCCTTGTCAGTACAGTTGACCCTTAAACAGCGTGGGTTTGAACTGTGCAGGTACACTTACGTGGGGGATTTTTCCAATAAGTATATTGGGAAATTTTTTTGAGATTTGTGACAATTTGAAAAAAAACGCTTTATTGTAATAGTACAGTATATAATACATATAACAGAAAATATGTTAATCAGCTATTTATGTTAACAGTAAGGCTTCTTGTCAGTAGGCTATTAGTAATATTTTTGGGGAGTCAAGTTATGTGTGGATTTTTAACTGTGTGGAGGTCAGCACCCCTAACCTACCCACCCTGTGTTGTTCAAGGGTAAACTATAACACTTTAAATGTAAATGGATTAAACTTTGTAATAAAAAAGACATAGTTTGATAGAATGTATAAGAAAGCATGATCCAACTTTATGCTATCTGTAAGACTCACTTTAAATACAAAGATACAAATATGTTGAAAGTGAAAGTGTGGGCATTGGTATCCCATGCAAATAACATCCAGGAGAGAGCTGGGTAGCTCTTCTAATATCAGGCAAAATAGACTTCACGCTATAAACCAATTAGACTTGACAGGCATATATAGAACACTCTACCTAACAATAGATGACACATTATTCTTAACTGCACATATAACATTCTCCAGGGAAGACCCTTGGATGGCAAAGTAAGTCTCAGTACATTTGTATAAAACATCTTATTTGACTATGATGGAATAAAACTAGTTAACAGCAGTAGTGATTGATAAATTCAAAGCTGGGTGGGTTTTAGTGAGGGTGCAGGGTAAGAAAATAGACTGACAACAACTATAAAAAGCAAAGATGACTCGTACTTCACCTCCAGGCCTAGTAGTGTGGGGCCTGGGGAAAATAGCCACCAGGTTACAGTGGGAGTGGTGTTCCTAGAGAGTGCTAGGCTCTATTCAGGCATGAAGGTGGAGGGGACATTTAGAGGACAGGTTCAGATAATGGGTTTTGCTGAGGATGAGTCATGAATTCCAGAGGATTCCATGGAAGTTTTTTGAGAATGTGGAAAGGTGGGATGGACAGGACAGAACAAGGATTGTGCAGAGCATTATCAGGAGCAGAGTATGGAAGCTGATGTATGGCTGGGAGTTGGGGGCTTGTGGTGACTCATTTAAATAGAGATAATGGAAATAATGAGAATAATATCTGGTGGATTCAGGTCAGGTAGTGAGTGAGCTTTTGTGGGTTTGCTCTGAAATCCTGGCTACCATTTGTTTTTATGGGAAAATGTTTTGATACTAAGTAACCATGTACAAAAGTTTAGAATAAAACTATTAAGTTGATGACATCTCTTATCTATCTTAAAAAATAGTAGAACAATGCCTTTTTTTATGATAAAACCTATTTGCTTATTTGGGTTCATACGGTATGTGCAAAACACCTGTCACAATTGTGGGGGAAGCCTTACAAAGATCTCATTTTCAGTTTTGAGAAGCGAAACAGTATATTGTTACTGTTTGCTTTTTATTTTCATTTGGCCATTTAGTAATTGCCAGTTGTCCTCAATTCACTCTTCCATTCATCTGACCACAAGCAGTTTAAAAATTAGGGAAAGGTCTTCATGACAGCATTCAGATATCCTTGTTTCTATGTAGGGTCTGCAGGGCAGGCCTAGAATTGACCATTTCTATTTTAAAATGTTGATTTATCCATGTGTAATATGTATAGAGACCTGTTTTGAAGGGGAAATCTGCTGATTTACATAGCACAAAACCAAGAAATAAAAGAATAGGGAGAAAAAATTAAAGCAGACACAGAAAGTGCTGCACTTACCAATTTGTTAGTCTATCTGCATCTCCACTAAGAACACCTAAAAAAGCAAGGTAAGAAAACACAAAAACAGATACCCAAACTAAATATTATGCAGTATAAAATGTTCCTCTATTCAATTTCCAGATTTTATTAAACTATTAGCATGCATTGTAAAGTGTATCCATTTTTGAAATCTTTCCTCATGCTCATTAGAAGATGTTCTAATATGAAAAGGGATGTTGACATAAGTGTCTTTGTCCTGGATTCAGATGCAATGTATGATCAGGAAGAGGAATGAAGCTTATTGTTAACCTAGAGTTATTTAGTCTCTTTGTTCTTAATTATTGGTAGGTAGAGGATATGATTTTAATTGTATTTTATGCACTAAGAAGAAACTTTTCTTTTGTTCTTCAAGGAACCAAATGGAGAGACCCCTTCATCTTTATACAGAGTTGCAGCAGTACTTCTACAATTTAATCTTATTGATTTAGATGATCTTTATGTACATGTAAGTCAATAGGCTGCTAATAATATTTAGTTGTCCATCCCAGGGGTGCAGGGAGGAGTAGACAGCCTTTATAGCACTCCAAGGTTGGCCCTAGGCTTTCATGTCTTAGTTTTTGAAGCCCTTATGCTTTATTGCTTTGTGTTTACTTTATAAAGGGAATCAATTTAATGCTTTGACAAACTGTGGAAATCAGATACTTTAATCATCCTTGCAGGATTCAAAGTTGGATATGACATTCTCAATTGTCATCAAGGCATATCTCATGGGGGAGAAGCCAAATTCTAAACAGTGTGGTTTTAAACTTCTCTATTATACATAAATCACAGGAAATACGGGATTACCTAGATACTTGTTCCTTTTCCCCAAAATGTTAATTTTAGGCATTCAGGATGAATTGCTGGATCCGGGATCTAGGAGAGTATGTTTGAAATTGTGATTGATGACCTCTAGTTTAGCAACAATTTAGCCTGTCAATTTAAATAAAACTAAGTTTGTAGTATAGCAATTACTGTTTTATTAGGTTGTGTGCTAGGATATCTATGAACTTAAACTTGTCCAAAGCTGATGTAACCTTCACTGCTTTTGCAGTCAATTTCTAACTTTCTTGCTTAGCATGTACTGTGGTTTACAGAGTTAGGTGACTACAACTTGGTCTTTCCCTTGGAAGCAGTCATAGTCTAGCAAGGGAGAAACATTTTGCATTATATAGTAAGTACTGTGCTGGAGGTATTCACAGAGTGCTGTTGGGTCTTAGAACAGATAGTGACTCTCTATGTTGGAAGGCTTTTCCAAACTAGTGATGTTGAACTGGGATCTTGACAGATGTGTAGGTGTTGGCTAAGCTTACAAGGTAGGAAGCTTTGTAAGTAAAATGAACTGGGTATAGAGGTGGAGGTTTGAAACGGCCTTATCATCACCTCAGGGGAACATCAGGAAGCTCAAAGTCGTTGGACCCTGGGCTGGTATGTAGGGGAAATGAAGATGGAGAAATAGATTGGGGCTGAGCTGTGATCACTTCATAATAAACTTGTGTTCACTAGCAAGATATGGCAGTTGTAACTTTATATGCACCCAGTAATACATTCCCAAAATAGACAAAACTAGAAAAAGAAATTTAAGAAGCTTAAAGTTCATCCATTGTAATGAGAAATTTTAGAGACAAATGGCAGTACTCTATATAAAAGATGGGGACCCTATAAAAGATGGGGACCTACAGAAGATATATAGGAAAACAATAAAAATAGAGGGCAAAAAGAATAAGCAGTGGAGAGCATAATGAATGACAAAAGTTTAACTCCTTGTACCAGTCTATAGTGACTTGTCTTCCACCCCCTCTTAGCTACTGAATTATTAGATTATGCATTTCTTGGGGCGGGTACACTTTTATAGCTCACTATAGTGCCTATCAGAAACTACTAAATAATGGATTGTTTTCTGTGTTTTTCTTTGTGTCTGGGTTACTTTATGAAATGTCTACATTAACCATCTTCCATGCATACAAGATGGCTGTCTTTGAGATACTCAGTCCTTTTTCATGTTGGAGGGTCAGCTATACACAATAGTAATAAACTAGAAACTAGTTTGTGACTTAAGTCATATAGTTGTCTAGGAAATGACAACTAAGATGTCAAATTGTTTATAATTTTTCTACTTTAGATTTTTCATTTAGAGGAATCAAATTTATGCTGTTATGTAATTCAGTAGCTCACCTCTCCCAAATTGTATCTGTATGTAGTACTTTATTTAATTTGGAGTTTGTCCTTTAGAGGGGTAATCTGATATTTTTAATGGAACAGGTATTCATTTCTTGGGTAAACCAAGTTCAGTGGTAAGCATCACTGTTATAGCATTGTGTTAACATGAAACTTCGAACTGCTACCAGATGTTAAAAGGTGTACAAAATTTAAGCTCTTAATTAGATTAAAAAATATAATGGAAAGAAACGTATTTAGAAGGGATATCATGGTCATGAATAAGCTGGACTTTGTTATTTACAATTTTATCAATTGAGTGTAGTGTTTGCTTTTTATGTGCAAATAGTATTAGCTGTTATATGAAATTTTAATGAACCATTTTTAGCTTCTTCCAGCTGATAATTGCATTATGGATGAACACAAACGAGAAATTGTGGAAGCTAAGCAAATTATTAGAAAACTTACAATGGTTGTATTGTCTTCCAAAAAAATTGATGAGCGAGAGAAAGAAAAGGAAAAAGAAGAGGAGAAAGTAGAGAAGGTATGTGGTTCATTCTAGTAAAATCAACATTGTCTTCTGGATTTAGAATTATTTAATTAGTTAATCAACAATTATTGATTTTGATTGTGCTGAAGAAAGGTGGTTTGATTTCTGACATACATTTCAAAATGTATTCTAAGTAAAATCACAAATGTATTTGTGACTTTTATTTGTGCTCTGTCTCTTAAGTCCCAAGGGGTTCTCAAAGGTGAATGAGTTCTAGGTTGCTGTGGCACAGAACATTAAGTACAGTGTAATATAATCCTTAGTCTACGAACTGTCACACTGTGTTTGCTAAATGAAAAAACAGATCCTGTTTTTTTTTTTCAGTTGCTAAAAACCTTGATTGTAGTTCCTGGAAAATACCATTGCATTTACCATGAATGGCAGCCATTGTTGACATACATTGTTGTATTATTTAGCTCAATTTTTTTAAATAAAAAAATTACTTTCTCTTTTGTAATAAACTAGAAAAAATAAACTATTTTTTAAATAAAAAAAATTAGGATTTATTGGTGTCTGGTCTTTGTTCTTACTGTAATTGTTTATTTTTAGCCACCTGACAACCAAAAACTTGGTTTGTTGGAAGCCTTGTTAAAGATTGGTGATTGGCCGCATGCCCAGAACATTATGGATCAGATGCCTCCATACTATGCAGCTTCACATAAGCTAATAGCCCTTGCTATTTGCAAGCTTATTCACATAACTATTGAGCCGCTCTACCGAAGGTATGTTACTGTATGCTTTACTACTCATTGAGTTAGAATTAGTTTAGGACTATAAAAAAAACTGCATGGTTATCGTGTCTCTTCAAACCAAGCATATACTTTAGTATGTTTTATCAGAAGATACAAATTATTCAGTGTATCAGTTTGATATGTGTTAATTAGTGACTTGTCTCCTAACGTCTATATCAGGTGTTACAGAATGTGTGCTGCAGTGTAGTCTAAAAAGTATAGGTTAGACTTTTAGGTTGAGTTTGTTCCATTGAGAGTGAAAACTCCATTCTTCTGTTCTTTACTTTTCCTCCTATCTGAGGGGTAGAGAATTCTAAGGTTTTTACTTAGTGTATTTTCCTCTATCCTGGGTTGAGTGGCTCTGAGTGAGGACTTTGCCTCTCTGCTTGCCTTCTCTTTCCTGGCATTTAGGCTGCTGTTGGGGAAATTGCTAGTGCAGCCTCTCTCATCATCCCTAGTTACTGTGTCGACCAGTCCTCTAGTCCTCAGCCTACTTGCAGGATACTTAGGAGCAGTATTGGCAGAAGCTCTGGCTTCCGCCCCAGAGAGCAGAGCCTGCCTCAAAAGCCCCAGCCTTGTGACTCGTGCATAGCTGCTGGCTGCTGCCTTCAGTGCCACCTGGGCTGTGGACCATGAAGGCTTCTTCTCAGAGAGTGACCCCTGTGACTCCACAGTGGGACACCTGCTCAGCAGGTGAGAACTCTGGGCATGCTGTGCTTTTTAGTGTGACACACTCTTTCATTATGCTGCTCACCTTCCCTCCCACCACCTATCTCATACTCAGTCTAGCTAGTGGAACCCAGATTGAGAAATGTTTATTGACTTAAGTCAGTGTTGTTTTATCCATATTTTTCTGTTTCATCTTCCAGTGTCTCTGACATCCATCCCTTGTTCCCCATGCCCATATTCAAATTCCTGATACTGGCCAAGTTTAACTAAAAACAAATTCATATGATGTATGTTAAGTGTCACTTGAAATTTGCGTTTTTCTAATTTCCTTTTCTTACGCAGTTAATTTGAAGCATTCTCCTCTGAGTTCTTGATTTTTTTTCAAATGAGTATTGGTTTTGTATTTTCTACTAGTTAAATTATCTGGTAGAATAAAGTTAGGCACAGTTGAAATATAGAAAGCAAATATGAGCAAGAAAGGTTTTACTTACTGATTAATATGACTGTATTAATTTAAAATGGGCTCTTCAATAGTATTAATAAGAATTTTACTTCCTTTTATAGAGTTGGCGTTCCTAAAGGTGCTAAAGGCTCACCTGTTAATGCTTTGCAAACTAAGAGAGCACCAAAGCAAGCAGAGAGCTTTGAAGACTTGAGGAGAGATGTCTTCAGTATGTTCTGTTACCTTGGTCCTCATCTTTCTCATGATCCCATTTTATTCGCAAAAGTGGTGCGCATTGGCAAATCATTTATGAAGGAGGTTAGTAAGAGTCTTTTTTTCCAAGCAGAAAACTAAGTTGTGGAGTGAACATGTTCTGAGCTTATTTGTGTTATGTATTTCTCTTGAATTAAAAAGAACATGAACTTAAGAAAAAAAGGTTGTTGGTTAAAGTTTGGGGAAAGTCCACTGTGTCCTATCTCTCTCTCTGTATATATCTCTCTCTATATATATAAAACTTAAATTTAGCTAGATTATTAGTGGTCCCCCACATAGGAAAATATGCTTTGGACAAGTGATTGCTTTTGAATCCCCTTATAATTAGTGGTTAACTCAGTGTTCTTTCCTCTTGCTTTTCTTCTGCTCAGTTATTTTCTTAGCTGCAATTTTGAATCATTGCCATGATTTGTATGAAGTCCAAACTGTTGAGGAGGACCCATTCCTTAATTTTTATAGTAAGCTTTTCACTGAAATAAAGTACACAAATCATACTTGTACAACTCAGTGGCTTTTTCCAAATGGAATACCCGTGTCCACCACCCAGATTAAGAAATACAACAGTACTGGTGCACCAGAGTTTTCCTTGTACTCCCTTGTGGTCGCTACTTTAAGAGTAACCATTTGTGCTGCTTTATTTTAAATCAGCTTTGAGTTATTATTGACATACAGTAAACTTCACTCATCTTAAGTGTATAATTTGATGAGTTTTAACAGATGTGTACATGTGTGTTCACCACCACAATGATGACATTAAATATTTTCATCACCCCAGGAAGTTCCCTCTTGGTCAATTCCTTCCCCTTCATTTCTGGTTCCTTGCAACCACTGGTAGGCTTTCTGTCACTACAGTTTTGCTTTTTCTAGAAATTCATGTAAATGGAGTTCTATAGAACATACTCTTTTCTGTCTGGTTTCTTCCACTTAATGCTTTTGAGATTCGTCCAAGTTGTTGCACAGGTCAGTAGTTCCTCGATTGCTGAGTAATATTTCATTATATAGACATACCAGAGTTTATCCATTGACCAGTTGATGGGCATTTGGGTTGTTTCTAGTTGGGGGCTATTATAAGTAAAGCTGTTGTGAATATTCTTATACAAGTCTTTGAGGGTTGAGGGCAATTTTGTTTCCCCAGGAATGGGATTGCTGGGCCATACAGATAAGTGTATATTTAACGTTTTGCCAAACTATTCCAAGATGTGTGTATCATTTTGTATTCCTGGAAGCAATGTATATGACTTCCAGTTGCTTCACATCCTCATCAACACTTGGTATTGTCAGTCTTTTTAAATTTTAGTTATTCTAATGGGTGTGTAATGGTATCTGTTGTGCTTTTAATTTATGTTTCCCTGGTGATCTGTGATGTTGAACATTTTTTCATGCCCTTTTTTGCCATTTGCAATCATCTATATTGAAATGTCCATTGACATTTGCAGCCCATTTTTAGCTGGGTTGTCTTCTATTATTACTTTTCAGTGTGATTTGCCTTTTCATTTTATGAACTGTCTTTTGAAAAGCAAAAATTTAATTTTGATTAATTCCAAATTAGCAATACTTTTATGGTTTGCTTTTTGTATTCTAAGAAACCTTTGCCTAATCCAAGGTCTTAAAGCTAAAAAGAATATGTAATTTCTTTTCAGTTGTAAAACAAGGTAGCCAAAAGACTAGAAATTGTTACAAGCACAAATGCAGTTTTCTCCAGTGTTTGGTAATTGCTTCTAATTTTGATTTATATATATATATATATATGTGTGTGTGTGTGTATATGTATGTATATATATATTTTTATTTTGTTATCATTAATATACACTTACATGAGCAACATTGTGGTTACTAGATTCCCCCCATTATCAAGTCCCCACCACATACCCCATTACAGTCACTGTCCATCAGCATAGTAAGATGCTATAGCGTCACTAATTCTCTGTGCTATACTGTCTTCCCTGTACCCTCCCCTACATTATGTGTGCTAATAGTAATGTCCCTTTTTCCCGTTATCCTTCCCTTCCCACCCATCCTCCCCAGTCCCTTTCCCTTTGGTAACTGTTAGTCCATTCTTGGGTTCTATGAGTCTGCTGCTGTTTTGTTCCTTCAGTTTTTTCTTTGTTCTTATACTCCACACATGAGTGAAATCATTTGCTACTTGTCTTTTTCCGCCTGGCTTATGTCACTGAGCATAATACCCTCTACTTCTATCCATGTTGTTGCAAATGGTAGGATTTGTTTTCTCATGGCTGAATAATATTCCATTGTGTATATGCACCACATCTTCTTTATCCATTCATCTACTGATGGACACTTAGGTTGCTTCCATTTCTTGGCTATTGTAAACAGTGCTGCGATAAACATAGGGGTGCATCTGGCTTTTTCATACTGGGCTGCTGCATTCTTAGGGTAAATTCTTAGAAGTGGAATTCCTGGGTCAAATGGTATTTCTATTTTGAGCTTTTTGATGAACCTCCATACTGCTTTCCACTATGGTTGAAC